AGGCAATCAGACGAATACAGTTGCTTATTGTATCCAAAGTTAGTACCAAGTTGATACGTTTTTATCATTTCTCATAATTTTTTTTTTTAATTTTTTCGAATACAAAGGATATGATCATTCTTTTTCGCTTTATTCCGTATGCGAAAAATTATATGTTTTAATGGACACATCGATTTGAATACATAATTTAGATTTAGATAACATTTTTAGCAATTTATTTGAGAAAAATAAAACATTTAGATTATTGTTTGTATTTTGGTCGATTTTAAATTTGCTACCCCAAAGTAATTGATATCAAATAAAACACCTCTTTTAGGTAAAATTTTCGAGTGACGATAGCTGAACTAGAACACACAAAATGTATTATATCAATTTCGTGACGAGAATTATACGCATTTTTTAACTGCCTCGGAATCTTACGGAATCTTACGAATTCGCCATTACCAAGGCACTAAGTAACGTGCGAACTTTTGTTTGCAAAATGCATCTATGTAAGTTGAAAGAAGACAAATTCCTTTGTTCGGCATTTATTCTTACTCGCTTTCTATCTTCCAAGGCGAATTCATATATTCTTATCACGAATTCATATATTCTTATCACGAATTCATATATTCATGTGGTAGAAAGAGTATAAAAACATAAAATTACCTTATAAATTAAAACCATAACATATCACATGTATGCGTAGTCCACTTCACGAAATTATTTCATCGATCTGAGTAAAAACTAAGTGCATAAACGCTATTTCGCGTTAATTGTAATCATGAAATGGTGTTCATTCATTCAGTTTCTACTCAAACGCATGAAATGATTTCATGAATTGGCCTACGCATAATGGTAGTAAATGACAGAATGAATTACAACAAACACATCCTTTTGACATAATGCAAGCCGAAAACGTTGGTCCAAATCAATCCGAAATCAAGTTGGACGTTTTGCCCACAAACATTCCAATTTTGCGAGCAGTCTCATTGTAAAATCTCATTTTTACAATTTCATAGTTTCGGCTTAAATTTATGAAATTCAACGAAAGCATGTACCTAATTCGGCTGAGTTATCCATTTTCGGTTATTTAGTGTACAAAATAAACGCAAATTAAATCAGTTTGTACAACATGACCATTATTGAAGCGATATGTTGTACAACTTGCCAGAAAATCCAAATTTTTTGATCTTTCATACAACCAAGACATAAATTCATTCAACAGGCCCACAAACGGTGCAATCTAGGGCAAAATAACACCAAGTTGAACCAACGGTCGCTACGTTTATGGCTTTCTTTAAGCAAGATCGGGCGAAAATTTCAACTGCTCCTGTAACACTACCTTATATAAGTTGGCCTTGCTATCATCCTCACATATGTTCATCAGAGTATACCAACGAAGGACGGGTTAATACAAGGAGATAGCGAGAGCACAAAACTACTCTAGAAAATTACACGCACAATGACAAACATGAACAAATGTACAACAAACACATAATTTTTGACAATCAGTACAGTTCGCATTTATATCAACAAGCAGCTTATTAGATTTGTTTTCGTTTGTACTACATATGTGCATATCAGAGTTGTAAAAAATGCATTAATTTTTTAATGCATTAATGGTATCTAAAGCAATAATGTTAATGTAAAAAATGAATGCATTAATTTATGAAATTTAATACAAATGAATATTTCAATGCATTAATTCTGAAAAATATAATGCTAACGGATTTTTTTTCATTAAATTATCCAAGCTAATGCTAATGAAAAAATTTTAATGCACTAAAACGCTTAATACTTTTGCTCGTTTGCATTATTAAAAACCATTAAATTTTTTTCTAATAAAATGTAAAAAACCTCTTTTGGAAAGACTTGGAATAATTACTAATAGTTTTTTCAACTTCATTATATTATGTGTATTTGTAGAAAAATTCTTCTAAACATTGTTAGATGTTTTATGAAAATGAAAGTCAATGTGCATGCAACGCAGAGTGCTCTTATAGATTTTTAGGTCGATTGTTGATGCATACCGATTACATATATTAAGTATGAGCCAAAAACGGACAGATAGCCAGTTTGCAGCGCATGTACATGACTGAGGACCTACTCTGATCTAAATCAATCAATAAACCATTTTTTAGTTCCATTTGACAATGTGAATTCACGTATTTAACGAGAAATGCCATTGAGCTTGACATAGTGAAAACCAGCCTTAACGTCCGTCACTATCTTTTTTGACCTTAAAATTCTACCCTCAACGTCAGCAAAGAGTTTTTACTTTCAAAATAAAATTAGTTAATGGGTTTTTAATGCTTGATATAATTTTAATTCAATAAATTATTGCAATAGCATTCATTTAAACATTTTAATGTTAATACAAAAAAAAAATCATTAGCATTATTTCTTCGGAATTAATGCATTGAAATTTTCATTTACATCAAATATCAAAAATTAATGCATTAATCCTTTTCATTTACATTAAAATGCTATGCATAAAAAAATTTAATGCATTTTTCACAACTCTGGTGCATATATACATTTAAACAAACATATGTACATACGTTCAAATATATATACAGCCATTCAAACATATGTATGTAGATACATGAAAACATTGCTTTCCATAAGTACATACATATGCCCATCAGTACATCAACGAAGCCCCTTTGCTTCATCTTATCTTACTAATATTATAAATGTGAACATGGGCGTAGCCAGGTAGGGGCAGGGTGAACAGCCAAGACGTTTACTTCTTAAGTGTGACAAAACAAAATCAAGTAATATATTTAGCATAAATGAATATACCAGCATAAAAAATCTGCATACTCAAAATGTTCAATACGTCCTCATATTTATACATACCTATGTGTATAATTTAAGAAAAGATATTTCGCTGCAAAGCAATGATTATAAGTTGTTAGTTTACCTTACAAAATTGCGGAAGAATATTACAGAGTATGCGGAAAAAAGTTTATTTTAAAAATTTTTTTATTTTGAGTAACGTCTGGTCCGGCTATTTGGTTTACCATACAGGTATGTAGAGCTATGAATTTAAAAAAGACATCAGGGTTTAGTTGAGATATTCGCTTTTGACCACTATGTTTTGTACATTTCCCAGTACTGCAAAGCTTTTGACTGCCATTCAACTGTGAGTGGCCCGCGTGCGCTGGGTTTGGGTCCCGCCACGTTAAAACCTTGCTCAATGAAAAAAAAAACACATGCCTCGGATGATACCCCCTTCTTTTGATGACGATCACGGCAAACATAGGAAGGAATATGATTTTAGGGTATGCACTTGGAATATCCGAACCCTTAATCGGGATGGTGCCTCTGCCCGGCTGGTTGATATCCTAGGGAAAAATAAAGGCTGACATCACCGCCATCCACGAAATGCGATGGATGGGGCGAGGAAGGTAAGCGTGGAGCCTTGCGACGTCTACTACAGTTGCCACATAAAGGAGTGCAATTCGGTGTTGGATTT